TGAAAGAAAAAAGCTGTCACCATAGAATTCTGTACTCAGTGAAAATGTCTTTCAAAAATGAAGGGAAAATAAATTTTTTTCAGCATACAAAAATTGCTACTATACCTGTGCTACAAGAAATGTTAAAGGATGTCCTTTAGGCAGAAAGAAAATGATACCAGATGGACCTATGTATCTATACAAAGGAAGGAAGCGTATCAGAAATGGTAAATATCTGGGTAAATGAAAAAGACTTTTAAAGACCTTATTTTAACAATTTCTTTGAAAAGTAATTGTTTAATGCAAAGATAATCAAGTAAAATATATATAAAATATGTAAGTAAAATAGCACAAAGACTAAGAAGGGAAATAGAAGTATGCTACTGTAAGATTCTTTTTTTTTAAAATTTATATGGGGGGGAGGGGCAGGGAGGGAGGGAGAGAAGCAAACCCTGCTGAGTGGGAAGCCCAGCATGGGGCTCAGTCCCACAACTCTGAGATCATGACCTGAACTGAAATCAAGAGTCAGATGCTTAACTGACTGACCCACCCAGGCGCCCCATAAGATTCATGTAATATACATTGATATAATAAATTCTTGATGGTAGACAGTAATACATTAAAGATATATATTATAAATCCTAAAACAGCTACTAAAAACAGAGGTATAGCTGACAGCCTAACAAAGGAGATAAAATGAAATAATAAAAGTAATAAATTAATCCAAGATAAATCAGAAAAAGTGGTAAAAATGACCAAAGAACAGATGGAACAAATAGAAAAAAAACAATAGAGCGGTACATTTAAATTTGACCATGTCAATAATCACATCAGATATAAATAATCTAAGTACTCCATTTAAAAACCAGAGATTGTCCAATTGGATAAAAAGAGCAGGACCTCACTATACGCTGCCTACAAGAAACCTACTTTATATGTAAATAAGAAAATAGTTCAAAAGTAAAAAGAATGGGAAAGATATACCATTTTAACACTAATCAAAAGGAAGTTGGAGTGGCTACATTAATATTAGAAAAAAAGTAAATTTCAGAGCAAAGAATATTACCAAGTATAAAGAAGGTTGTTTTGTAATGATAAGGGTGTCAATTTGTCAAAAGGACATTGCAATTCTAAATATTTATGTACTCAATAAGAAAGCTTAGAAATACATGATATAAAAATTAATAGAACTATAAGAAGTAGGAAAATCCACAATTAGTCAGAGATTTCAGCCTCACTCCCTCAGTAATCAATAGACTGTACAGATGGAAAACCAGTTATTAACTGGAAGATTTGGAGAACATTATCAATGACCTTACCTAGTTGATGTTTATAGAACATTCTACCCAATAACAGCAAAATACATATTTTTTTAATGTCAAGAAGGAAAAATTTGCTAAGATAGATCAGATTCTGGGCTATAAAACAATTCTCAAAAATTTTTAAAGGATTCATCCATATCAAGTCTCTTCCCTGACCATGGACGGAATTAAATTTGAAATCAATAACAAAAAGATATCAGAGAAATCCTCAACTATTTGGAAACTAAATAACAGAATTTAAATAACCCGGGGTAAAAGCTGGACATTTTCATTTTCTTGATGGTGGCGATCATTTCAGAGGTGTAAACATATGTCAAAACTCATCCAATTATATACTTTAAATTTGTATGGTTTAATGTATTTTAATTATATCTCAGTAAAGCTGTTAAAAACCAGACATGTACTCAATCAAGGGTTGAGATTTGATAATAACCACAATTTTTATTGCTTCATTGTGATATTCTTAAGTGAGATTGGCTCTTTTGTTTTCTTTTGTCTGTTCTTTTCCTTTCCTTTTTTTTTTACTGTGCATATCAGTGAATAATACAATGACTTCTAAGTAAACAGTTTTTTTAATAGTACAGTTTTGTGTCCTGTCCTAGTAAGTGCTAAGGTACCAGCAGTTTTGCATCATCCGTGTAAAGTTAACACAGTAAAATAAGCTAATTTTGCTTTAGTATCATTATAAATATTGATTCAACCTTGCAGACATTCCAAAGGGTCTTGGAGAATCCCTAGGGATCCATGGGTCACATTTTGAGAACTACTGTCTTTTTTTTTTTTTTTTAAGATTTTATTTATTTATTTGAGAGAGAGACAGAAAGAGAGAGAGCACGAGCAGGGGAGAGGGGCAGAAGGAGAGGGAGAAGCAGGCTCCCCACTGAGCAGGGAGCCCAACGCAGGGCTCTAATCCAGGACCCTGGGATCATGACCTGAGCCGAAGGCAGACACTTAACTGACTGAGCCACCCAGGTGCCCTGAGAATTACTGTTTTAACAAACTTTCTGGTTATGACTGCATTAGTCTAATGGTGGGACTAGCTGTGGGAAAATCCTGCCATGGCAACTGCACGGGGATGATCTTTTATAGCAGTTGGGTCCTTAATATGTATCACAGTATAGAATCTATTCTCTAATAAAGATGATAACCACTCCACTCGTGATTAGTGTTGTCACTGCATACACAACTGATTTTTTTCCAGGATGAGAAATGGGGCCTGAAATTCTTTAATTGGATATAATAGTCATGGGAAGAGTGTGAAGAAGGGACAAGTTGCAGCAGGGGAAAAAAAAATAGCAGATCTAAGGGATTTCTGACAATTTCCAGAACGAAAGAGGGGAGAAAAGTAGAATGAGTAAAGCAAAAGGGAAGAAGGATATTTATTTAGTGTATCAGGCACAAGAAAAGATACTAATAAAGAAGGTAGTAGGGACACATAGAGGCCTGTGTCGGATTTGTAGTTTTATGGAGAGTTGTCAGAAGACCTCGCGTGTAAAAAACAGTTTACTAACTAAACTAAATTTACTTACTTACTAAAATCAGCGTCACTTATTTGCACGAGATGCACCCTGTGGATGCATTTGTGGTGGATGCGGAGAGGCACCACTCAGATGGCCCTTCAGGGAAGGACTCCTCTCCAGCTGGTGGAGTGCTTTTGGCAGACAGCCTCTAGCTGTCAGCTCCTTTGGCAGCAGAGCGCTGCTTGCAGGAAGTCAGTCCACTGTGGTGGGGGTAGAAAGCCCTAGACATTTTGGCTCACCCGTGTGACAGCTCCGATAGGGCTTTCAGCTCAAGGGCGCCCCACAGGATTAGGTGCGGCTGTGGAGGGGGACCCACTTCCCTGTTAGCCTTTCCCTCTGCCCAGTCCCTTTCCTCCCTCTACCCTCCTCAGGGGTTTGTCCCAAGGGCACTCCCTGAGACACACCCTGAATGCTAAACTCTGTCTCAGAGTTGGCTTCCTGTAGCTCCCAAACTACAGGAGCATCTATTGACTAAAATTGGAGAACGCTAGGCGATGGAAAATCATCATGAAATTCTGTGTTAACACTTTAACTCAAGTGTTTCCTTATTTCTCATTTCGATCTGCTTATACTTAGCGTGATACTACCTTTAACATTTTGTTTCATATCAGTTTGCTCTTCCTACCTTCCCTTTCTTTTTTCTTTTTTTTTTTTTTTAAGATTTTTAAATTTATTTATTTGACAGAGAGAGAGATAGCGAGAGCAGGAGCACAAGCAAGGGGAGTGGGAGAGGGAGAAGCAGGCTTCCCGCTGAGCAGGGATTCTGAGATCATGACCTGAGCCGAAGGCAGGCTCAGCCTAATGACTGAGCCACCCAGGCGCCCCCCTACCTTTCCTTTCTTACAGGAATCCTATTGTGGAAAGATAAAAAGGTAACAGGGTAAGAAAAACAATTAGGTGGTTTCTTCCCCAGCCACTCAGGAAATCCACTATTTCAAGGTTGGCTTAAGCAGCAAGAGAGGAAACATACTGGGAGATGTGGCAGTGGTTTTGTTCTCAATATTATACTAACAGAAAGTTCTGAAGTGGTCTGATTATTAGAAGAACTGCCCCTGAAGGTAATAAAGAATTTATTTTTAAGCCTGAAGATTTTAATTGTCACTCAGAATTCTGAGACATGAATAGGATTAGTGATTTTGAACATAAACAGGAAAGTAGGTACTCCATCCTGTCTTCCCCTGTAGCTCCAGAGGAGGGCAGAACAGTGGATTCCCAGGCCTGCCCTGTCTTTGAAACTCACTCTTAAGAGTTTAGGAGACAGAGTGGGTGAGTCTTTTGGCCAACTCCATTACCTTCAGACCTTCCATCTCTGGGAAATAAGTCTGTTTCAGTTTCCTTGCTTTGATTTTTCTAGGATCTAATATGTTACTAGGAGATGACTCAGGCAGACCATACCCTGATCCTCACTGTCTGGAAGAAAAAGAGGATGGTGAGGTAATTGAGGTATGTGACCACATACCTACAGACAAAATTGAGATATTGTTGTATTTTTTTCTAGGATTATCTTGAGAAAACTGATCTTCGATGTTACAAAGTAAATACAATTGTGCTTAGGTTTTCTTTTGGGAGGTATGCACTGGAGAAGAGGACTATCTAAAGAGCCACTGCGAACATTTTCAGATAATCACTTCGACCATCCCTCGCGGTTGGGGAGTATGATGTGCATACGGCAGGCAAGGCAATTATTTGTGAGAAAAAGAAAAGATATGCTGGGCTGTTATAAAGGAAATACTTTGAGGGTTTCTAGTTCAGGCTTCGTGCAGGGGGAGTCTCAGTTTGCTTGTCTGTGAAGTGGGGTTAATACGTACCCCACGTGGTTATGAAGATTACAGAAGGGACATCAGAAGAGCCAGGCACCTAGGACAGGGCCTGGTACAGAAGTATTCAGTAAACGTCGATTCCCTATGGGAAAACACTTCATAACCACACAGGGTCTGATGAACCCTCTCTCTCCCCTTTCAATTAATTCCCAGTTACACGGCCCTGGGGATCATAAAAAATGCCTCTTCCCTGTCTCTCCTCTCCAGGACAAGGCAGTGGCCCGCTCCCGTCCCTCCGTTCCGAAGCTTCTGCCTCCCAGGACAGCCCAGCCCCCCGGGGTGCGAAGGTCGAGGGTGGGCGGAGGAGAGCTGCGTCCTCGGCCTGCGCAGCGCAGTGGGGAGGGGACCCGGAGGCGATGGGGAGGCGGGCGCAGTCGTCCCAAGGGTGGAGAGGGGGGACGGCGAAGGACGCGCGTTCCCGGGCTCGTGACCGCCGGGGCCAGAGGAGCCGGCGCGCAGACAGTCTCGGAGATGGCAGGCGGCGGGGACCGGCGCGTCATGGACACCCTCCACCTGCTGCTGCTGGTGGCCGCCCTGCCCCTGGCGGCCCGGGGGCTCAGACACCGAGGCTCGTTGGACTGGATCCAGGAGAAGGTGAGCGGCTGCCGCTGCGTGACCGTACCTGCGCGGCTGGTGCGGCGTGCGGGCACGCGGGGCCGGGAGACCCCACCTTGGCAGGGTGGGAGGCGCGCAGAGCCGCGCTCGCCGGCCCAGGCAGCCGTGCCCGCAAAGGGCACCCGGAGGAATCGGGGCCCTGAGTCCTCGTCGGGCTGCCCCACTGGCCCCGGGGCTGCTTTGGAGACGCCACGGGAGCAGAGTGATGTCACCAGCCTCCCCTCGGCTGCGGTCTGATGCGGGCGGCGATAGGCACAGGAAGTGTGTCTAGCCGGCGGCGGCCGAGCGCGGAGGTGGGGGCGCTTCGCCGCGCCGCCGCCCACTCGGGACCCCGGAGGCCGGCGGCCGCGGGGGTGCCGGGCGCGCCTGGGGTGTGCTCAGCGCCCCCCCACCGCGGCATCCGCGGACGCCCTTGGGACGTTGGAGTTTCCGTGCAGTCTCCGGACAGATGTGTGTTACCGTTTGTTTTAGGTATTTAAGCGCAGCTGCTCTAACTGGAGACCAGCTTCACTTTAAAAAATATATATATATACACATATATATTTTTTTCTTAAAAGAGAATAAATGCAGTTGTCAGAGCGATGGATCTAGTTGTGGGTGAAAATTCATATAAATAACTTAGGTTGTAAGTTTCCTCTGTGTGAAGTAAATAGGTTCAAAGTTACTTCCTTTTTCTCACAGTTTTGAAATCAGGACATTGCTAGGGAATTATGCATACGTTAATGGTATTGGAGTAAAATGGTTTGCTTTTAAAAATACTAAGAAAAGGGGCGCCTGGGTGGCTCAGTCCTTAAGCGTCTGCCTTCGGCTCAGGTCATGATCCCGGGGTCCTGGGATCAAGCCCCGCATCGGGCTCCCTGCTCCGCGGGAAGCCTGCTTCTCCCTCTCCCATTCCCCCTGCTTGTGTTCCTGCTTTCGCTGTGTCTCTCCCTGTCAAATAAATAAAATCTGGGCGCCTGGGTGGCTCAGATGGTTAAGCCTCTGCCTTCGGCTCAGGTCATGATCCCAGAGTCCTGGGATCGAGTCCCACATCGGGCTCCCGGCTCAGCGGGGATCCTGCTTCTCCCTCTGACCCTCTCCCCTCTCATGCTGTTTCTCTCTCGCTCGCTCTCTAAAAAATAAATAAAATCTTTAAAATAAATAAATAAATAAATAAAATCTTTAAAAAAAATACTAAGAAAAGCAGTAAAGGGTTGTACACTTTGACAGTGTTGTGGAACAGATCTTTTAAATGCTTACGGTATGCTTGTATTTCCTGACACGGTGGGAAAACAGGGCACACTGGTGAATGCACCGGCCCTGTCTGGGTCACATGCAGACTTGCACGCAACCACCCGCATGTGTATATGAATAGCCCACTTCAGTTCTCTGTGTTGTTTCCTTTGCTTCACCGTTTAGACGGCACAGCGTGCCCCCGCTTACACATGGAGACCACCAGCCACAGGGACCCTGGAGAGGATGTGGGAAGGCAACTCAAGAATAACTGCATTAGAAGAAAAACTTTCCATGGGCGTTCAGTGGGAGTAACGTCCTTTAAGGGACATTGAGTCCCATACTTAAATCCTTTTCTTCTCCACTTCACCCTGAGTACCTTCCTGGTCAGAAATTGGGAAGGGGGCACTAATAACCAGAATATGGAGCCACACCAAATGTGTCTTTCTGATTCATCTAAATGGGTGAATAAGTAAGATGGGAACTGTTTGAATGAGCTGTTCTTTAGGAATCATTTGGAGGCAAGATGCATTTGTAGGTGGGAGAAGGTGTTGGATTCTGGACACGTTTTGAACTAATGAGAATTTAACTTTGGAGAAAAGTCTTTTAAAGCATGAATCCCTTTTATATTTATTTTAAGAAGCTTCTAATCACTGTTCTACTAGAAAGCTGGATGCTTTCAAACGGCATAAGCAAATGAAGCGAATGGCAAAATCAGCCATGACAATTCCCAATTTCTGGTCCCCTCCTCCTGTTTTCTGTAGGCCTACATAAAGTCCTGCAGGTGGCTGGTACAGTTTCAGCCTGGGAAATGAATTGGTCCATACTAAAATACACGCCTTCCTGCTATATATGGCATTTAATTATTTTAGTCATTGAGGTACACTGGTCTGCCAAAAGGTGAGGTTTAGTAAAGAAAACATTGATTCTGAAATCGTTTTCTTTGCTTTGAACTAAAGGTGTGTCTCTTTCAGTGGCATCTAGAATGTAAAAACTACTTGATGGTTGAGTTCAGAGGACTATGATTTGGTTATTTGAAATCTGCAGACATTTTCCCATTTTAATTTAATTTTAAGCCTGAAGATTTTAATTGTCACTCAGAATTCTGACACATGAATAGGATTAGTAATTTTGAACATAAACTGTTCAGTTAGTGAAGGAGAGTGGGACTGGTGGAAGGGTTGGGGGGCCAGAGGAAGAGCTTATTTCCCTTTTTCTGGGTTATAGTGGACCCTAAATAGAATTCCAAAATAGATAGTTTGTTTCTGGAAACTTCTCTCCTATTTCCCCCCTTTCCTGATCTCCCTCCTGGAGCTTAAAGGTTATTATTCTGGGGGTTGACCATATTCCCAAACTACTTCTCCGGAATCCTGTCCCAACTTTGATCCTCAACCCTGTTTCTTTGGTACAGATCCATTCTTTTGGTACAACCTTGTCAACTGGCTATTAAAAGGAATCTCATTAAATCAGTCCTCTCTTAGGTGTGAAAGACTGATGACTGTTAGGAAGTTTGCATATTTTTTTTAAAGGAAGCTATTAGTTAAAAAGTATGGCTTCTATTGAAATCTCCCAATTATAAAGTTAGCATGCTTATTTTAGAAAATTAGGAAAATAATAATAATCACCCATAATCCCACATTCAGAGATAATTGCTGTTAACCATTTTGGTATTTTTATTCCTAGTCTCTTTCTCTTTCTCTCTCTCTCTCCCCCCTTCCCTCTTTCTTTCTATACATATATATATATATATATATATATATATATCATATTCATATGAACACACATACACATGTGTATATATGATGTGTATTTTTATTTATAGAAATGGATAACAATTATACCAATCTTGTAGGTTTTTATGAGAATAGAGCTATCCATGTAAAGCATTTAGCACCTTGCTGCCCTATAGTAAATGCTCAATAAAGACTAATTGTTTATTTTTAAAATAACACACACAAATAATTCTTTCATACCAGAGATTATGCTGCATATATGGTTTTATATTTTATTAAGTCACTTAAAATTATGAGTATCTCCTTGAGCCAGTAAAATTCACTGAAATAATCACCTGATGATTGCAAAATCATCCATATTCTATAATTTATCCTCTTATTGTTGGATATTTAGGTTGTTTCCAAACTTGCTCTGTCATAAAGTTGGGAACCAATGTATTTTAATTGGTAGAATCTTCCTTTATTATAACAAAGGTGAACATCTCAAGTAATATTGGATGTGGAGGGACAGATTTTTTGAACAGAGGAACCGTATATGGGAGGGTTGGCCTCCCCTGGGGGTCCCTCTCTGGGATCATCTCTGCACACTGTTACTGCTGTCTTCAGCACTTCCCATTGTTCTGCTTCTGGAGTTACACATATTCTGAAAGTTTTTAGGGTTCCCCTCTTCCATGGTTTTAAAGTCCTTAACCATTCACTGTTTTACCTGCCATGATTCCTAGGGAAACAGCAATGGAGACTCCAAGGCAGGCACGAGGAGGGCAGTGGTAGGCGGGACATTGGTGGGGGGAGAAAGACAAAATGTGCCATTTTTGAGCTTCTACCACCTGGCGAGTAAGTACTATGACGTCCTTACAGATCATTAAGCCTTTCCTAGTCACAGCCAGTAAGTCAGGGACCTGGGATTTGACTCTGAATTGTCAGTTCAAAGCCTACAGGTGCTTTTCTTTTAGGTAGAGGACTCCTTGCATTGAAAGAAGACAGAACTTTATCTTACTCGGTTCTCAACTTTTCCACAACTGCATTTGTCATGTCAGAGGAATCGGACACACTGGAAGGATTTCTGTAAATGCTGGCTGGGTTGAATCTACCGGTACACACAGGAGTGAATCTGAGTGCTGTCTGGGAGACACTCATATGGGATGAGAACTGGAATTGAAATTGCTGGACTTCTATAATGATCTCCCTTTAATTCAATGGCATGGGACCTCAAATCCCCTTGCAAGTGGGGCCAACTCTACAAATTATGTAATTAAACCCCTCTTTGGCCTGGCACCATGTGATTAGTCTAGAGGAGATGTTTCAGGATATCTGGTTCACACTTCTCTAGCTAAAAGATTCTTGTCACCCAAAGCAGACTTACTGTCCTTTCTGCCTGGCTGAAAAGACAAGGCAGGGGCTGTAATAGAGACTTGTTCCTCTGAGAATGCCTATACCAAAGAAACTTGTCTATGTGCCTTTTAAGTGAAATAAGCCTAGACTAACTTGGGATTTGCATTTAACACTGGGCTTAACACTGTTTTTGCCTCATTTACTTTCCTCATGTCCAGCCCACACTTTCTTTCCAGGTTTCTCCTCTCACTCCTTCCTCTTATCTCCACATAGATTGTTATATTTCCTGGGTTCTGAGAGTGAGGCTCCATGAAAGCTGAATGGGCACCATTTTGGTCGGAAGAGTCCAGTCTTTATAACTGCTTGTACATTTAACTGATTTGATATTTTTAATGCTCATTTTACTTTATTATTATGTAGACACAGGCTTAGTGAAGACAATTTCAGAGAGACCTTTCATCTGTCAATTCCTTATTTGATGACCACACCCAGTATTGACTGAGTACTCAGTACGCCCCGGGGTGCCATGTGGCTGCAGGAGGGACTAGGATATAAAGACAGTCCTTGCCCTCGAAATCAGATGTTAAACAAGTCAACACACAGGAAAGTGGTCTCCAAGTCATAACCTGAGTAAGCAGGAGAGTCAGGTGAAGAGGGAGGAAAAAGCCTGCAAGCTGGAAGTCACCGCAGGTGCAAATGCTGTGACAGGGCAGAGTCTCCCACTGTTTTGGGACCGGGAAGGAGGCCAGGGCGACTGAAGCATGGTGAGCTGGGGTGAGTGGCCCTGCCTGGGGGCGGCGAGGCAGTAGGAAAGACCAGACAGGTTCCTGTCGGCCTGCTTAAGTAGTAATTAACCATAGATGTCATCCCACTTCTTGCCTCCAGTTCCTTCTTTGTCCTTTTCACATTTCTGTTGTTTTGTCTGTTAGAGTCAGCTTTCTTCCCAAAGTGCTGTTTGAGAGCTAACTTAAGGACTGCGATCCTGAATGTAGCAAGGAATTTAAAGGCTGCTGCGACAAATTTATGCAAGAAATATATTTAAAAATATATTATCAGTAAACAAAGACAAACCTTAAGAGGTTCAGCACAGCATCCATATTTGGGATTACCTCCAGGGTAATAAGGCAGAGAGGCAGGGAGGCAGGGAGGCAGAGCAGAAGGGCACGGGACTGGGAATCCACGAAATCCAGATATTTTCATTGACTTACCTGGAGCTCTCCTACCACCTTGGGAAAATCATCTGGTCTCTATGAACCTCAGTTTCCACTGACATAAATCCAGGAGGTTGGACTAGATCATCTCTAAGTCGTCTTTTCAGCTCTAAATTCTATACCTCTTTTGTATTTGATAGAAGGTAACAGAATGACAACTTGTTGAATGTTTACTATGACAGCTTACATCTATTAGCTCACTTAATTATAATTACTCTAGGAAGTAGGTGATATTGCCTCCATGATGATGAGAAGCATGTATGTAATTTTAGGTTTTCTAGTAGCTACATTAAAAAAGTAAAAAGCAATAGGTGAAATTAATTTTAATAATATGTTTTATGTAACTCAATATATGAAATTTCAATATGTAATCACCATAAAACTTATCAATGGGATATTTTTTCTTTTTTTTATTATTCAAAGTCTTTGAAATCTAATGTGAATATTACAGTTCAACTAGCTACATTTCAAAAGCTTAGTGGTCATATGTGGCTAGTGGCAACCATACTGGACAGTGAAGATGTAGCTCAAATTCCTTTATTAGTTTTTTTGAAGGGAATGAGAAGTTAAGGGACCTACCCAAAGTCATACAACCTATAAATGACAGCCAGACACTCCAAGACAGTGCTTCTTCTAGAATGCCACATTGCCTTTTATAAAGCCATTGTGCTAACAAAGTATAATTGTTCTGTTGGCTGCAGTTTTGTAAATGTTGGGTTTTCTTAAGAATAGGAGATCAATAATTGATATTTTAAATCTTAGTTTTACAAAGCACTTGTACTAAAATGATTAAAAGTTACACAGAAAGTGCCAAATACTAATTCTCAGGTTCAACGCATTACGTTCATTTTGTTTTTAAAATAAGCTGCCCAAACAGTGTAACTCTCTAGATCTGAGGGGCCAGTTTTAGAGTTGAGTAGTTTAATTTGCTTTATGACATAAGAGCTATCTTTTCAGTCTGACGTTCAAAGGAAATAGTTCTCTATTGCAAATGTCTCAGGGTTAAATCTTGACCATTTTATGAAATGACAGCCAGTTAAATGATGTTATTCAATCCTCAGTATTATCACCAACCAGCCATTTTGAACTCATCGTCTCTTCGACAAGTTGCAGAAGGCACCAATATTTCTGAAATGTGGGAAAACGACTTACAGCCATTGCTGATAGAGCGCTATCCCGGATCCCCTGGAAGCTATGCTGCTCGCCAGGTAAGGATGCAGCGCTCGAACGTGAAGGTTGTTGAACACTTTGCTTTCTTTTCTTTTCTTTTTTTTAAGATTTTATTTATTTATTTGAGAGAGAGAGAATGAGAGACAGAGAGCACATGAGAGGGAGGAGGGTCAGAGGGAGAAGCAGACTGCCCGCCGGGCAGGGAGCCCGATGTGGGACTCGATCCATGGACTCCAGGATCACGACTTGAGCCGAAGGCAGTCGCTTAACCGACTGAGCCACCCAGGCGCCCGAACACTTTGCTTTCACATGAGAGATATGACACATGTCCCAAGTTCTGAGTTGTCTGATACTCAGATCTGTCATCTCATCTTATTATTCACCAAAATGAGCAACCCAGACAACCAAACAACTGAGAGTGAATGCCTGTTCTGAGTGCTACCTGTTAATCTAAATCAATTTATGTGTGCAATCTCTGTCGGGGTACAGTAGGAGATAACGTACTAAGTATTCAACTCTTGGTCGTTTCTACAACACACCCCTAGGCACCCAACCACGTTTTCTTGGACCCTAACCTCCCCCTAAACAGCCCTAGGAGGTTCTTGCCTGAAAATTCTGTGCCAAGGGTGAGTTACTGTCCTATCAGGGCCTTCATTCCTCGTGGGACATTGTATTCTCCCTGGAGGGAAAGTTGAGATCAGTGATAAGCTATTTGTACCAGTGTAGTGATTCTGAAACTTCGGGCTCTAACCCTTGTTAAAAAAAAATAGTAAAAAATTTTTTAAAAATTACATTTTATACACACAAACATAAAAATGATTTAAATGACACAAAAGTCCCATGAAAAAAAAATCGGCACTCTTCCTACCTGCGTTACCTGTGATTGACTCTGATATTGTTAATTCTACTTTACTAGCTGTTTGGTTTTATTTTGTTTTTTAATGCTGGTCACGACCCAGTAAACTGATTTCAAGATCCACTGATTTTTACCATTGCAGTTTGAAAGACACTGCTATAGAGAGTAAATAAAACCATAGCTGGGCTAGACCTTGAATGTCTCTGCCTCCTTAGCGCCAGTCTGAAGTGATCTGATATCCTACCTCTGAATGTTTTTTTCAAAATAGCCCCATTTCAAGGGGCAGCTCGAGAAAGAATGGGGAGTGACTGGCCCCTCAAATCCTCCTCTGAGAGTACTCCACCTGCCTAATTCTCCAGGCAAAAGACCTTGGCACCCCACTTCTGTGCTAGAGCGATACCTGCAAGATCCAGCAACACAGCTGCTGGGCTCATCCTTTTGTGCCCAGTATATGGCTCCTGCCTTTTGTGTCTAGCCTACATAGCCATTGTCATTGCTCCATTAGGCTCCTGCCTTCCAAACGGCACCTGTTTCTCCTAAGGAATTAGACGGTGGAGACCCAAAGAGCACCTTAGTTCTTTCTAACCTTTAGGCAGAGCAAGGAATAATAATGATGATGGCTGACTTTCATGGAGCACTGTTTTTTTTTTTTTATCAAGCACTTTATGGAGTTCTTTGCATGGATTTTCTCATTCGGTCCTCACACAACAATGCTGTCATGTGGGTACTATTATTATCATAGTGCTACAGATTGAAAAGGCATGAGATTTAGGTAGATGAGTTAACTTTTTCAGAGTTATACACATAGTAGTGATGAGACCAGAATCTGGATCCAAGTCTGCTTGACTTCACTATCACTAAAGAGCAGGGGCTAGGAGGAACGAGCTCTGGAGTGTGTGTTCACAGTCTCCAGCTTTGGATCTTCTCTTGCCTGAGTTGGAGAATGAGACACATACCATTCATTTCAGTGATATTCCCTGGGCCTTAGCTCCCGAGCATTTTCTTAATGGAAGCCCAAGACGCTTATGGGGGCTTTCCAAAATCCTCAGTTCCTCATTAGAAAAAAAAAAAATTAGGTCTATAGATTCACTCATTCAATTCAACTTTTTTCATTTCCCCATACCATTTGATCAGAAGACTCTATATACCCAGAAACATTTATGAATACTTCAGACCTGAGGGTCCTTGCCTGTAGGCTTTAGAAATCCATAAACTCAACAAATATTGCTATTTGGATATGTATTTAGCTTTCGACAGAATATATAGCATAAATAATACACATAGACACTGTTGTGATTTAAAAATACATTAAATTGACTGAACCCATGACACTTTCCATGCCGTATGGGGTGGAGGCAAATGAGAAGTTTATTGACAGTATTTTGGAATGTGCTGGGACCTGTTTGCTGGGCTGCTTATGCATTTTCTAGCTCATGTGGCAGTAATCTGAACAGGATGGTTATGGTAGAAATGTCACTTGAGAGATTCAATTTTGTAATTTTTTGAGAAGAAAATCACCATGAATTTTTAGAGAGCTGTCCCCTAAGCTGTGAAAGATAAAATGTGTCCGCTTTAGAAGATGAGGTACATGATATTTAGGTTATGATGAGGGAATTATGCTAATGGATTCAATTTGACCAGGATCAGTACCTGTCACTCAGAACTAAGTTCAAACACGAATGGTGGAAAATCTACTTTTTTTCCTGAGACTTTTTTGAGCACCTGATCAGATGTTTTATCATTTATAGAGTTTCGGGTTTATAACTAGAGAAGACTCTCAAATCTAAAGATACGTGGACTTGGTATAAAGTTGATTATTGTGTTGACCTTTGCAGTTATCAATAAAGATATGCTTTGCTATAGATTCTTTTTCAGAGAATAATATGGGAACAATGTCCCGTAGTCTTCATTTTTTTAAGGGGGCGGGGGCAAAGGGAGAGGAAAAAGAGAGAATCCCAAGTAGACTCCACACTGAGTGCAGAGCCCAATGCGGGGGCTCAATCTCACAACCCTGAGCCGAAATCAAGAGTCGGATACTTAACCAACTGAGCCACCCAGGCGCCCTCCATAGTCTCCATTTTTATTGCCCCTGATCAATGAGCCTAAAGATACCTATTGGATTTTTAGAATATATATTTTTAGGAGAGATTTTATTTGTAAAATAAATAGTGAAATTTTGGGGTATTTCAGTGACTTCTCTCTGAGCTGGGAATAAAAAATGGTTTAAAAATCAGGATGATAAAATCTCACTAAGGAGCAAGCCAGAAACTTTGCCTAAAAGAGGCAAGCTAGAAACCTCAGGGCTAAACCCCCCCTATAGATGAACAGTACATCTGAGAAGCTGAAGCTGGGCTTCTTTAGCTGAAAGTATGGATATCCCTGGGTTAAGGATCTTGGGCGGAGAGTGTTCAGCGCGGAGCCGGAGAGACTTATATGTGTACCGTCCAAGAAGGAATAGGTACCCTGAAGTCCCCGGTGGCAGAATTCAGCATCCTGACAATGATCTGTTTGTAGACTTTGTGCAAATACTGTAGAATCTGCTTCCTCCAAACAAACAAACCTGGTCTACTACTATCATTGTTTCTTGGAACCTGGAAATGAGAATTTAAATGAAATTAAATTAGACCCAGAACCATTCACTAATGTTAACCTAAAATTCCCAGGCCTGCCCCCCATGCTGAAAGTAGAGTGTCCTATTTATGTCTTTCTCTCTTTTCCTCTCTCACTCTCTGTCTCTCTCCTTGTCTCTACCTTTATCTTTGTATCCTTTTTGGCTCTATGCAATGTTTGTCTATCTCTGTCTGCATCTCTCTCTGTCTGTATCTATCCATCTCTATCTCTCTTCATCTTTCTTTTTCTCCTTTCTCCACTCCAAAAAATAAATCAGTAATAATCCAAAATACAATCTGTGTCCTAAACTACATTTTGCACTCCTGGTGGGCCTGAGTTCTTGCTACCTGGCTTCAGGAAGCACTCCCTGCTTAGGGCATTCTAGAGAGCAGAACAGTAATTTTGGGAGCCTACTCTAGAGAATTGCAGTGGGAACTTGCAGATTAAGGCTGAAAGCCAAAAGCACAGCAAGGGATATTGGTGACCTAATTAGAGTATGGAGCCAATTCGATTGTTTATAAAGAAATTCGTTGCTAAGATAATTAAATATTTTTACTGCATAAAAAAGTTTGCTTCAGGGAGAACTCTTCCAGGGGCATTTGCTGATGCTTTTGTGGATTTTAGTGTCAACATAAGGTATCAGAAATTATGTCCACAACCTGTTTAGGAGTTGAGAAATGAGTTTGTGTGTGAGACCTTAGCTGAACAAAGCTAACAGATATATATATTTTTTAAATCTCAATTCATTTTTGTAAGCATACAGGCTGCTATTGGTTTTGGAGTAGTTCAGCATCTGGATACCAGATGTTTTGGAGTATAATGCCTTTTTTTTTTTAAGATGACCCTTTTTATGGAAAAAAATTTCTTTTCCTTGAAGTCTAGGAATAACTATTTTCATATTCTGTGGAAAGCTTATCTGAGGTGCACAGTGATTTCTCTCTATTCAAACTACCAATGTTTAATATCATCTACTTTTATGTATTCCCACTGAGACTAACTTATTAGTTATAATCAGCCCATATGTAGTGATAGCTTACTGTGAGCAAAGCCCCGTATTAAGAATCGTGGATGAAAAAACAAAGTGAATGAGATGTGAACGATGATTTCAAAAAGGTTAGAAACATTTCATTTTTATTACTTAAAAAAAGAACTTGTAAACTTGAAATCAAAAAGGTAAGGGACTCCACCAAAGTCCACCACACTAAAGAAAGCAGGGAGTGAGAATCAGGGGACTGTTTGCTTATTTGGCTTTTGCAGCGTTGAGTGGAGAATCACTGTTCTCTCTCTGGTTTGGTTATTTTCCTGGAAGCTTTCCTGCCACAGTTTTTCCAAAGCCTTTGCTTTTGTGTCATGTCACATTGGTTACGACAGGCCACACAAGAGTTGGCTGCGCTGGAAAATCTTGTTAATTCCTTGGGGGGGGGAGCCCCCCAAAAAACAAACAAAAAAAAGACAAAACCCTTCCATTCTTTTCCAGTTATTATGAGTTATTTATCACCTCAAAGTCCATCCCTACTGGATGTTAATTGTGGAACAAATTGCCAGTTCTGGAGATGGTTAGTTTTTCATTTGATGTTTTAAACCAATCCTTTCAGGCAAACTTACAAAGATGTATGCAATATTTCAACATAAAATAAAATAAATGAAACCTACTGAGAAAAATGAGGTGAAGGGAAAATGGAGGTGGGAAGGGACAAGGGAACAGCAGTGAGCTCACCATAGCTCCTCACACCACACATTCTAGACTCTTCAGGAAGACACTGCCAGACTCAGAAGCAGTGTTTCTTTTCCATCTGCAACCTATCAGCTACCATTTGCTGTTCTTGCCCTCAAAGAGCTGAGGGTAGGAGTTGAGACCTATAGGATCTTAGTATATCTGACTTCTCAAAATGCCTTCTTAGCCTCCTGAAATATTGCAAGTGGACTTTAATACGTACTGAATTCTACTGACATGTAGAAATGACGCTGCTTTATTGTTAAATGAGAATAGCGAGGGGCAGAATAATGTGTAATGTAGGTTCTATTCCTATAAAAGCATGTACCCCTTCGCCAATTACGTGTTTGTGTGCTAGTATATGTTCACATAAACAATAAGAATAGTGTGGAAAGATATACATCAGACTAATGGGGCGCCTGGGTGGCTCAGTTGGTTAAGCGTCTGCCTTCAGCTCAGGTCATGGTCTCATGGTCTCAGGGTCCTGGGATTGAGCCCCGATGTCAGGCTCCCTGCTCAGCGGGGAGCCTGCTTCTCCCTCTCCCTCTGCCCCTCCTCACTCTCTTTCTCTCTCTCTCAAATAAACAAATAAAGTCTTAAAAAAAGAGAAAGATACACATCAGACTATTAACATTGGTTAATACTAACAATTGATTGGGATTGCTTTGCAGGGTGACGATTAGGGGAAAGGGAGAGGGATAACTTTTCCTTTAATCATCCTTGCTATTAATTCTGTAACTATGTATTGTGCTTTTAACTTGAAAGGCATCACATAAAATTAAAAAAAATATATATTTATATAGTTAACCAATGGAAACTGTCCAGATCTGAAATTTTGGTTTTTCTTTTGATCAGCACATCATGGAGAGAATTCAGAGACTTCAAGCTGACTGGGTCTTGGAAGTAGACACCTTCTTGAGCCAGACACCCTATGGGTACCGGTCTTTCTCAAATATCATCAGCACCCTCAATCCCAGTGCTAAGCGACACCTGGTCCTCGCCTGTCACTACGACTCCAAGTATTTTCACCCTTGGGACAACCAGGTGTTTGTGGGAGCCACTGATTCAGCCGTGCCATGCGCAATGATGCTGGAACTTGCACGTGCCTTAGACAAGCAACTCCTTTCCTTGGAGGTATTTGTTTCCTCCTCGTAGATTCTTGGATAAAACACATTAGAAGAACTCAGAGTGAATTCTAGAATCCTTGGGGGGCAGTAAGAAGGCCATTTAGAAATGTAGACTTTCAGGACATTTTGTACTAATTTGTTGCAAAACGATGTGAGGTTGAATGAATATTAATTGGAAGATTACACTATGACACACGAAAGTGAATTTATTCACTGGCACTTGATTGCTTAATTTGGCATACATATTAAATGAAATGCCACATTTCTTTGCCATAAATGAAGCAGGTGGACGTTTGGTACAGGCGTATATATGAGAAGTATGTTTTTTTCTTCTTGTTTCTGTAGCCGTGAAACATCACAACCTTCTAATCTGAGAGATGTGGCTCTTGAGTTGGGGGAGGGGGCCGCTGTAAAGTGGTGCTGAGAGTGGGTAATTCAGACATATCAAGATGAAAAGCATGGAGCAGAAATGCATTATTGTTATTATCTGTGAATCTCGGCTCAATTTTATGTAGCATAGTAGAGCTTTTGTTATGTTCTCAGTTCAAAATACTTCTGGGACTCTCAGATGTTATTTCAGTCCCTGTTCTTAAGGGTATATTGGAAAAAAGTGCTAAGCTAGATGAAGACATTTTGTTCAGATATCACCCATAACCAAGTAAATACAACAAAGCAAAAACAAAAATCTTGGTTCGCAGGCAACAAATACCTCTTTTTCTCCCTCAGAGCTTTATGAAGGGGCCAGCCTTTGCTACAATGGGGGTAAAGAAGTAAAAGGTTTATCTTGTAATGGAAGTAATAGAGATATTGGATCTATTTTTGCTGGATATGCTGAACTTGAAGAAAGCAAGAATTGTTTGTAACCTCTCCGCATCCTTTTCACCATTTTTTGTTTTGTTTTGTTTTGTTTTGTTTTGTTTCTTGAACCTTCTATAATGTCTTTGTCTCATTCTCTGCTCTGCTTTCAACTAGTACCTTTCCCCAGCAATTGGGTGAGAGAGTTCAGAAGCTGATATAAAAGTTTAATTTTTCATGTTTGCATTCTAGGGTAAGGACTTTAAGTGAAAGGCATAGTCTGTATAGTGGGTGCGTTTTCTCTGGGTGAGCTCCTTTGCCTTTTTCTATGTAGTTCATACCTGCTTTTCGTGACTTGAAACAGAAAGGGCTGAGTGAGTTGTTGGTTGGACATCCCCATTTTAAAAAATACACATGCATTCTCTTAATTATCCTTTCTCATAGAAGTAGCAGTGATGTGGACAATTAAAAAAAAAAGGACTAGTTTTAATTGAAATGTGAAGAGTACCAGATTCATTTTTCCAGTCGTATTTTAACTAAACTTGTATTAAGGAGTTGTTTTAGTTCTTCAGCTGTCATGGATTGGGTAGGTGGTAGTGGAATGTGACGTGGGAGAGGACAGGAGAATAGACTGGATTATGGCTCCAACTCTGTGCAACCCTCCAGTGGTAAGATTACAGTTAGACATTCCCATCTTTTGCCTTCCCAGTGTAGCAGGTTCTAGGTTCTCATTCCTTGACTCTGGACTTGGTTGTTTGATTGTCTTGGCCAATGGGATGCTAGTAGATGTGACAAAAACAAGAGACTGGAGATGAGCTTGTGTAATGGGGCTTGATCTCTCGTGTCTTTGCCATAAGGGCATGCCCTGGTTGGCCTGCTGATCCTCTGGGGAGGATAAGACATGTGGAGCAGAGCCAACCTTAATGATGGCATGGTGAGGCAGAGCTCCTCCAACTAAACCCAGCCTAGATCAGTTGTCCCCCAGCTGATCTACAGACCCAGGAGGACACATGAGTGTTGCTTTAAGCCCCTGAGTTTGGGGTGGGTTTTTATACCTTATTATTGCGGCATTAGCCTTGGATGGGGAAAGACCACGATAATTCACCTACTTGTTGACCCTGGCAACTAGACATTTATCACAGTACCATGAAGGACTGAAGGACCTTCACAAATCAGGCTACACAGATTTTCCCAGCTCCAAGACTGTGTTACCAGAAATCGAGGGCCACAGTTATTTTCCTGCTAATCCTGAACAAAACAAAAAGAGCAGGGTGCCTCATAGGACTCAGGATCATTGTCTACACAGTCTACTCTTGTCTTAATGATTGGAACAGAAAGTAAACCATTGTACTGACCACTGGAGTCACTCAGCTGTTGAAATTTCAGTGAGGCACCTGAACATTTAAGCCTACAAAGTATGAAAGCTACCTGCTTTTGCTTCTGCCCTGGGCATAGCGGAATGTCTCTGGTCCCAGGCAATTTATTCTGCTCTGGTATTTCATTATTATGCTCTCTGGTTTGGAGCTAGAACTTTGGAACCAGTCAAGGCCCTTTAAACAACTGGAAACTTAGCATGTCTCCATTGAAGTATGTACCTTACACCTTTTGCCGATGAGAAAATCTGTTTAATTACTTAGTAGTTATTAAAACCTGAATACGTATGTATTGTACAGACAAATACATCCTGTGCTTAATGCTGTCAGGAGTTATGGAGAGACTCAGAGTGTAGTAAATTATCCTTTTCTTGTCGTCTAATTAAGGAGCAATATTAAAACAATTGCAATGATTAACATACAAAGATAACTTAGTTTTCGGATGATAAAGACATTTTTTTCCATCTTAGGAAATCACCCTAAAACAATCAGGAAAATTCCATCTTTGAAGAAACTAGGGAACATGTGTTAATGGGAACCACAATATGAAGACAGAAGGTAAATGGAGAAATGGCAAATGACATATTTGAGTAGAGAGAAGTCATTCCCCAGAGTGAGGAGGAAATGGAGAAGTCAGTGGTCCCCTGACAAAATCCTGGAGTGGCTCAGGAATTAGTGGAGAAAGTGAGGGAAGTAGAAGTAAGGCTGGGGCGGGGGGCAGCATTTATAAGTCCGCACAAAGAGCACTGGGATATGTAGAAAAATACCAACTGGGCACCCGATTGCCCTGCAGTGAAGCCAACCAATCTGTGTCTCTAATCAGTGTTTTAGTACATTATTCTTTACTTTTTTAAAGATTTATTTATTTATTTTTAGAGAGTGGTGGGGAGAGGGGCAGAGGGAGAAAATCTCAAGCAGACTCCCCGCTGAGCACAGAGCCCAACATGGGGCTCAATCCCATGACCTTGAGATCATGACCTGAGCTGAAATCAAGAGTTGGATGCTCAACCAACTGAACCACCCAGGCGCCCCTAGTACGTTACTCTTTAATATGAATGAACACAGAGGACGACCAGACATTGGAGGAGAGTCTCCAGCATGAAAGAAAGGGAGTAAAACAGTATGAATTGAAAAATGAATTCAAAGGAAATAAAGCACAAGGAGCAGGAGATAACTTAAGGGACACTGTTTTAAATATCCTTAGAAATTAAAAAAAAAATTAAAAAATAAATATCCTTAGATAAGACGAGACATGATATCCATAACAGATTAGGGAGATCTCAGATTCCGTTCAGTCTGATGGGAGCATATCCCCAGTACTGTGCTGAGGTGGAGAGAGTGAATGGTTGTATATTTTTCTCCAGGCAGGTCTGCTGCATGCAGGCATAAAGTAGGCAGAAAGTTGGTCTAAAGGTTATATTTTTGCCATGTGAGCTTGACCAAGGCAGAGAGATGCCAGGGAGTTGAGGATGTATGCAAAGGAGTGGTTAGAATGATTGTGGAACTTAAGCTGAATATGGAGTGAAGGACTTCATGGGGTTGAAGGACTGTGAACAGGTGAAGGATTCAATAGATCAGGGATTCCAGTGGGGCTGGAGGACTGTGGAGGGTAGGGTACCAGAAGGACTCATGTGAAAGGAGAGGAGACAGTGAAAAGTATAAAATCAAATGGGAATCCTAGTAGCCCTTCGAAGTTCTGCTCAAATATTGACTCATAATGTCTTCCTTGACACCCCAAGGATTTGACCTCTCATTCTTTTTTTTTTAATTTAGCTTTGCACAGTGGCAGTATCGTAGCCAATGAGGTTTATCTGAGGTGCAATTATTGCTAATTGAAAATTTTTTTTTAATTTTATTTTTTATTTTAGTCATCATACATTACATCATTAGTTTTTGATGTAGTGTTCCATGATTCATTGTTTGCATATAACACCCCGTGCTCCATGCAATACATGCCCTCCTTAATACCCATCACCAGGCTAACCCATCCCCCTCCCCCCCTCCCCTGTAGAACCCTCAGTTTGTTTCTCAGGGTCCATAGTCTCTCATGGTTCATCTCCCCCTCCAATTTCCCCCCCTTCATTTTTCCCTTCCTACTATCTTCTTCTTCTTTTTTTTTTTTTAACATATAATGTATTATTTGTTTCAGATTGACCTCTCATTCTATCCAATTCCCAGAAAAGTTTTATGTTGCATCTGTGACCCTTGGCACACTTTGTCCTGTTCACATATTTGTTTTATCTTTCCTGACCCAATTGACGTGTAGACTCCTTCAAAGGAGAGGCTGTAATTATTATTCTTTGAGTCCCTGTTGCATTCCTAAGGCAGATCCTTGAACCTAGATTCAGTGAAAAAATTACAGACTCAAATAAAGTGGGAAGCAAGGAAGATTTGCAGTTGTTTCAGGTTGTGTTCCCTGGGACGCACACTGACGTGGAGTTTAGCATTTAGGTCCTTTCTGAGGGAGTAGCCCTGGTTTAACAGCTGCAGCAAGGAGGGGAGAGAAGTGGGATTAGGCAGAGGGAGAAGTCAATCCTCCATGCAGGTTCAACAATAGGCTCAGCCAACCCTGGGGAGCTCTGGAGGTGGAATGGTCCTATAGAACCTGTAGGACCTGCTTAGATCAGTCATTGGATATAGGACACCCCCAGGGCTGAGGCAGTCCCTAAAAGGACTAACAGCTGAAGACCTGAAGACAGTTCTTCTGGTGGCAGGGGCAACACACCCTTCTGGAAGGAAACTGGGTGTGTATCACCTTGTCCACAATGACAGTTTCACAGTTTCAAATTTCTGTAAGGAATTAGAAAACATATAAAACTTCTGTATTCAGAGAGAGTGGGGAAAAGTGAAATTTACATGGGTGAAGACTGTGGGAAATGGGATGATTTTTGGAGGTGAAGTGGTACAAAATCCATTTTGGCAATCTTCACCTGCTTTGGTATCTTCCTTTTCTTCGTGGCCTATTTGTCTTTTTGCCGGGTTAATAGGAAACCATGCTGTTTTTTTAAATCCTCACAGTGTTTTTGCTGTCTTTTTACGATTCTTTTTTACCAGAATATTCCAGACTCCAAGCCAGATCTCTCATTGCAGCTAATTTTCTTTGATGGGGAAGAGGCTTTACTTCATTGGTCTCTTCGTGATTCTCTGTATGGGTCTCGGCACTTAGCTCCCAAGATGGCATCGACCCCGCACCCACCTGGAGCGAAAGACACCAACCAACTGCACGGCATGGTGAGTCTGGGGAATTCTCATGATGCTGCAGCTGCAGGCTCTGCCTCAAAGGAAACCAAAGCTAGCGCCAATTAAAGACCTAAAAATGCCACAGCATTCTTGGAGCAGAGTGTTTATTATAGAACATTCCTTGGCAAGCATTGGGCTTTTGAGGAATCCCAGAACTAAAAGGAATGAATGTGGGTTAGAAGTTATGTTTGACTGAGCATAATTAAAATGATGTAAAAAAATCAGATTAAGAAAACATCAGATTCAGTTCGGTCCAATGGGAGCACATTCCCTAGTTCTGTATAGAGATGGTGAGAGCAAATCCCTTCTTCGAGGCCTCTGTAAAGCCTGAGGAGGCTGGGGTCTTGGGAACTGGAGTGTGAGTGAGACATGGTATAGGGCATGGGAGTGAACTTCCTTGGTGTCCTCAAAGTGTTACAATGACTCCGAGTGTGTATGTGACATTGTGTCGGATGTGTTTTGGTCTAATATTGTTGCCATAGGGATGGAAATATTTTTGATGTTGCCTTAAAATCCTGCTCTTATTATCAAGTACTGGGTGCAACACATGGTTGCATTTTAATTCGCATTTCTGGGCCCACACTCCATCCCTAGTCCCTCACCTCACCTTTGAATTCTCTCCCTGCTCTGTTTCTTTTCCCATATTTGACCTCACGCAGTCTTACATTCTCACTAACCCCAGCTTGGAACCTCATGCTACCCTTGAGACTTCATTCATCCCTGTGCCTTCATCCATCCCTACCCTCACCCTACCTGTGAACTGAAAGCCTATTCCTAACTCCCTCCACGCATCCCTTTCCTTTGCCAGATCACTGACCTTTACCCTGTGAGTCCAGATGGCCACACTATATGTCCTCTGTGGCCCTAACACATCATGCCGGCATTCTCTCCACCTTGTTGTCTTTTGGCAGCTCATAATGGGGCCAAGGAGTATGGTTGGCTCCTCATTCAGTCCTTTGGACCAAGTGGCTAAAAAGCATTCAGAGGAGGAGGAGAGACCAGGTTGATCAGGAGGAGGAACAAAGTTATTTATCCGTCCAAATATATGAATCCATAGTTATGGTTAAGACCTTTTTTATTCCCAGAAAAAAACTCTTAGTAGCTTATCCAACCTTGTAAATATAGTCTTATTTCAAACAAACTTATTTTCCCTCAATGAATACATTTAATCATCATTCATGAGCTAATAGGTATTATGTCTTTAGAACCATAGACTCTGCAGATATTTATCTACTGTGTGTCAGGATCTGTGCTACATATCTACCCACATGTAATCTCATTTATATAAATCAGGAGTTCTTAATGTGGGGGTTAGTCTTCAGGGAGTCCTCAAACCTGCTGATGTTTTATGGCTCAAACCAGAAACATTGGAGTAATTATGGAGACTTATCATCAGAAGGGGCCTTTAAAAACCAGCAAGTTTGAGCCTCTGTTTGATGGAAAAGGAAATGGAGATCCAGAGACAGTAGGTCACAGAGCCCATAGTCAAGAAATGTTTCCTTTATGCTGCTTTGAGGAATAAATGATTACTACCCAAGTGCTTTCCTGTAGGGACCTGTAACATTTATAGACTATGGAGAAAAGGACTAATTAGAATGGAATAGAGAGGATTGGAATCCCATCTGAAAATAAAAAGTAAATGTATTCTTTTTTGATCTATAAAATATTATCTAAATGTCCTCTTTCTAATTTATCCTTAGTGATACCCTTTTGGGGTTACACATACAAAAAATCTATACTTTGCCATTTGTCCACATTGCATAAGCAAGATTTTTTAAAGTTCTTCAAAATATCTCCCTCTTCTACTCCGCCTGCTTGTGTTCCCTCTCTCACTGTGTCTCTCTCTGTCAAATAAATAAATAAAGTCTTTAAAAAAAGGGGGGGGGCACCTGGATGGTTCAGTCATTAGGCGACCTAATGACTCAGGTCATGATCCCAGGGTCCTGGGATCGAGCCCTGCATCAGGCTCCCTGCTCAGTGGGAAGCCTGCTTCTCCCTCTCCCACTCCCCCTTCTTGTGTTCCCTCTCTCACTGTGTCTTTCTCTGTCAAATAAATAAATAAAATCTTTAAAAAAAAAGTTCTTCAAAATAATCAGCTTACAATGTTATTAAACCTTTTGTTCATTTATAGAGCTCCCTGGATTATTCTTAATTGTTAAAATGTGGTTAGTTTTGACTGTTTTTTTCCATTGATGAATATGAAATGTATTTTGGTGATAGGGATTAAACAATTTTTTTTCTCTCTTAGGATTTATTGGTCTTATTGGATTTAATTGGAGCTCCCAACCCAACATTTCTCAATTTTTTCCCCAAATCTGCCAGATGGTTTGATAGACTTGAAGCAATTGGTAAGCACCACTGTCACTCCAGAGTCAACTTAGTTCCTTCCTATGGACACACACTACATTTTAAAATTTAAAATTTATAACAAAAAAAAAAAAAAAGAAAAAAAGAAAATTCAAAATCTATGACTTAAATATATGATTTGAAAATATACTTTGCTGGCTTTTTTTCTTGCTTTACTGATTAGTTTATTGTTCCTATTTATCTTTTTCAGTAGGCCCACTTTATTTCCCTGCATGAGACTGCATTTGGAACTGGAAACATACAAGGCTACATTTAATATTTGCATGTCCCTAGCAATGGTTTGAAAATATTTTCTCAGAGTCCTGTGTGCAGTGTATGGAATGCATGTCTAGGGAAAACTCCACTCAGAAAAGCATGCTGGCTATTGATGACTGTTATGATCCTTATGATACCAAAAGGCATTCTTTAATTTTTCATTCTTTTTTTTATCCCTGTCTTTGTCATCTTCTATTTCCTACCTTTTTCAGACATGATTTTCCTTTAAATCTATAACCATCTCAATTTTCTAAGGAAGTAAGAGATCGGAATGTAAGAGAAAGCCAGGATCCTTCAAAAGTCATTTAAGGGACAGTGTCGTGTTAGTTAAATGACAGTAGACTAGTCTGGACCAGGTCAAGCCAGGCCAGGCAAAGAAACAAAATATCTATGGCTCAAGAGAGAGAGATGTGGTGTTTGAAGAAGGAAAGGGGAAACAGCTTCTTTCCTTCATACTTGCACTACTCCTTCCTACCTCGTAACACACACACACACACACACAAACACACAGAGCCCATTGGCATCAGGGGGAGATGAAAATGAGATAGATCTTTAATGATAAATGATGAAATCCAGGCCAGAAGATCTGCTTTTGGGGCAAGAAACTTCAGGTTAGAATTCCTTAGTAGTTACATATACTTCCTGGAGTGGGATAGAATTGTATTTTTTCTAAGCAGCGGGGAAGAACACTACCCTCTCAATTCATACTTTTGCCATGAGTTTAGAATTTGCCAATATCCAAATCTAGAATATTATAAGAGAAACTTTTACCTGAGTCTCAGGCAAACCTGTGTCCCTCCCCCCCCCCTTTTCCTGTGGTTTCCTCATTCTCCATCTCTCCATTGTCCTACCCACTATCTACCTCTAAGGAGGTGCTTATGTGTAAAGCTAGAGCCCATGTGTGGTTTTTCTCTCCATGTATGTACCCAAGTTCAGCCCAGATGCTTATTGTCAGGGGTGTAGTTGGGCTCATGGCTGCATATTGTTTAAAAAGTGATGGCCACATGTGCTGAGAGTTCAAATTCCTTCTGCATTCTGAGCATTGTTCAGGTAAGAATTGATAATCATCTACTGTCTAATTGTCATCTGCAGAACACGAACTCCACAGATTAGGTTTGCTCAAGGATCACTCTTCGGAGAGGTGGTATTTCCAGAATTATGGTTATGGAGGTGTGATTCAGGATGACCATATTCCATTTTTAAGAAGAGGTAATGTGTGTGTATGTGCGGGCACATAGGCATTTTTTACTTACTGTATTTTGTGTATTTGCAACAATCTAGAAGAGTGAGGAGCCATTACATTTAATTACTCGATAGATTAAATCATCCACTAATCATCTCATGACTTCTATTTTTTCATGAAAGTCATTCCAAATCCTTAAGCCCCCACCCCCATTCCAGAATATTCATAAAATCTCATATTCTACTGACCTTGCTTTCTTATTCATAGAGTAAGATTATAGTCTTACATTTTATGTAACTCTGGTGTTTTTTGATTAATAGGGAAGCAATACCCTTGATGTCAATGGTGGAAGTCTAAATCAACTCAAGGGCTCTTGTAGTAGCCTCCCAATTGGTCTCTAGCTTTTGCTGTTGCTTCCCTATTCTTTACATAGAAGCTAGAGTTATCTTTTAAAAATGTAAATCAAATTATGTTTCTTCTGGAGGCCTGGGTGGCTCAGTCCATTAAGCATCTGCCTTTGGCTCAGGTCATGATCCCAAGGTCCTGGGATTGAGTCCCGCATCGGACTCCCTGCTCAGTGGGAATCCTGCTTTTTCCTCTGCCTGCCTCTCCCCCTGCTGTGCTTTCTCTCTCTCTTTCCCTTCCTCCCTCTCTGACAAATAAAGAAATAAAATCTTTTAAAAAATAATGTTTCTTCCCTGTTTTAAAGCTCTGGTGGCTTGCCATCATGTTGAATAAGACCCAAAGTCTTTACCATGACCTACAAATGCCTCCTTTTTCTGACTCTGTTCCTCGCCAACATCTCCTCCTGTCTTTCTCTCTAATTACTGCTCTGATCCAGCTACATTGTCCTCCTGCTGTTCCTCAAGCAGGCCAAACATACTCCTACCCCAGGACCTTTGCACTTACTAATCCTGCTGCCTGGAATGCTCATCCCCAGATCTTTGCCCAGCCTGCTTTCTCCTTTGTTGCATGTCTCTAACTAAATGTGAGATTCTCAAAGAGGACTTCCCTGACTTTAAATACATCTTTCTTGGCCCAGCTGTCTGCCCCTCATTCTCTATTCCCCTGCCTTGTTTTATTATTCTTTAGAATGCTTATCATTCTCTAGAATTACTTTTATATTTGTTTACTTGTTTCTTTCTTTACTGGAATGTAAGCTCTGTATGAGTAGGGCTTTGCCTTTTCACTGGTGAAATCTCAACATCTCGAATAGTGACCGTTACGTAGTAGGCACTTTAAAATTATTTACTGAATTAATAGACATTTGTTTAATGAATGAGTGGCTTTGGAGTAAAAGGGTAAAATACAAGGAAGTACATAGAAAATGCTGAATTATCAGCTGTCTTTATATGGTACCAAGCTCCCACTCAGACTTGTGCTTGAAGAACGATACTTTCTACTTTACTCTGTGGAAACACGCATTTAATTACCAGTTGGTTCTTTCTTATTAGGTGTTCCAGTTTTGCATCTGATCCCATTTCCTTTCCCTGAAGTCTGGCACACCATGGATGACAACGAAGAAAATTTGGATGAAACAGCCATTAACAATCTAAACAAAATCCTACAAGTCTTTGTGTTAGAGTACCTTCATTTGTAATATTCTGTCTTAGTTTATGGTAATTGTATCTAGTTTCACATTCAGATGTCAAGGCACAACTTAAAATAATCTCACTCCAGACAAATGTCATGTGGAACTTCCATCCTATAGATTCATTCTGTAGGTGTCTTTGAATATGTGATCAATAAATCCCTAGATTTACATCATGTCCTAAATTGCTCATTAATTTTCATCTAGAGATGAGGAAAGAAAAATGTTTAGGAAAGCAGAAAATAAGTATCTTTAGATAAGAAACTATGAAACTAAATCAGATTCATAGATACAGTATCATGGTCTTCCAAATAGTACTTAGATATGATGGCGATGTGCAATATGTAGCCTTGGTTTTATGGGTTTTTTTTTTTTTTTTTTTTTTTTACTTGAGAATCTCTCACTTATAATACAAAACAGAGATGTAGTTTGAGGACCTTCAAATTTCTTTGAGAAATCTTTGTAGGGTTTATTTCATAAAAATTAAATCAGAATTAAATGCCATGCCAACTTTTTTTACACATAAATGAAAAATTGTATAATTTATAGTTCTTTTGTAAAGATTTTATTTTGAGGGTGCCTGGGTGACTCAGTCGGTTGGCTCAGGTCATGATCTCAGGGTCCTGGGATCGAGCCCTGTGTCGAGCTCCTTGATCAGCAGGGAGTCTGATTTTCTCTCTCACTCTTGCTCTCGCTCTCACTCTCTCTCAGTAAATAAATAAAATCTTTAAAAAAAAAGAATAAAAGATTTTATTTTTAAGTAATCTCTACACCCAACATGGGGCTCAAACTTACAACCCCAAGATCAAGAGTTGCATGCTCTACTGACTGAGCCAGCCAGGCACCCTTTTAGTTCGATTTTGATAGAGTTTTATAAATTTAACATCTTTTTCTTAATTTTTTTTTAAAGATTTTATTTATTTATCTGAGAGAGAGAATGGGAGACAGAGAGCATGAGAGGGGGAGGATCAGAGGGAGAAGCAGACTCCCCGCTGAGCAGGGAGCCCGATGCGGGACTCGATCCCGGGACTCCAGGATCATGACCTGAGCCGAAGGCAGTCGCTTAACCAACTGAGCCACCCAGGCGCCCAAATTTAACATCTTTATTGTAAAAATAATATAGTCAGTAAGAAAAAACTGAAAATGGAGAAAATTATAAACTCATTATACTAACAGGATCGCCATTCAATCTTTAGCTTTTCCTCACATATTTTCAATGTAGGTTAAAAAAAACCCAGCATTATAATCAAACTGTATTTATAATATTCCAGCCTTTTTTTCCTGTTAAATTATATAATTACCAGACATTTATCTGCCATTCTGATCTTGGGTTGAAATGAATACGAGTGTGGCCTCCAGGGTTAATATTAAGGCAACCGTGGTAGTACAGTAATTTATGACAATTTTTGTGTAGTTAAGTTATATGATATTCACATTTGATTAATTATAGTATATTTCTTTCCAGAGATTCATGGAAGCAAAATTGTTTGGCTGGAAACATAGGAATTCATAGATTTTTTTCTTTAGCTATAGGAAACAATTATCTAGAAAACAAACTTGATCAGTTGAACATTTAGGAAATTGATCCTGCCATGTAGATGCAGTTAGTTGGGGATGCCGTTCCTCATGGGCTCCCTCTTCTGAGCAGACATTTACTGCATACTCACTGAACGAACGCGCTGGGGCCAGGTCTGCCAGGTCGGAGGTGAGACAGACCGGCCGAGTGGGGGAGCAATGACAGCTTTAGTTCAGCGACAAAGGAAGTCATAGGGAAAGGAATTGACTTTTTAAAGCCTTTTTTTCCATGTAAAAAAAAAAAGGATAAATATTTTTATCTATTGACTATATAAAATTATAGCCAGAATTTAATTAAATCATATATATCACATGTCTGTAATTTCATGTTGGTAAATTTCAAAGAATTGGATTTTTCTAGGATTTCTTTTTATTTTACAAATCTGCTTCTAAAGCTATATAAAGGGAAGTTGTGCCTTGTGAGTTGAATAATATGATGAGTTAACACTTACTAGGTACTATGTGTCGGATGGTGTCGTAAGTGCTTTATGTGTTTTTACCAGCCTGAATCTTCACAACAATCCTAAGGGGCAGGTGATATTATTAACCCTATTTTATGATGCTCAAGGTGGCTAAGTGTCTTTTTCAAGATCACACAGCTAGTAAGTGGCAACAATGGGATTTGAACCTAAGCAGTCTGGCTCTAAAGCTCATGCTGTGAACCACTGTAGGGTACTGCCTCTTCACATGAAAAGAATATTGTAGAATATTCTAAATGCCAAATGCGAAGCAACAATTGTATCTTGGAATTTTTATAGGTCGTTCGCTCAGTCCAGAGAAGCATTCTTACATCACCCTTGCCATAATTCACCTGACAGTGCTATAGGCTTCAGAGGCATGCCATCTGCATGCAGAATGATTTCTCTGCCATAGCAAAGGTTTTTACATCAGCATAGATATAACAGAAATCAACACAAATGCTTCTAGGGCTAAAGAATCTAAGCCACAAAGCAGGATTAAAGGAGGCTCTTTTCTGGATTAACTTTTGGATGAGATAAAACTTTTGAAAGGGGCTTAGGGAAAACACACACACACACATATATATGTTTTAACACCAGAAAAGAAATGATTTCACTGATTATATTAACACTGAATGAAAAGAAGTTTTAATAAGGAACCTAAACATTAGTTGACAGTACTATACATATGACTATAAGCCTCAGTAATAACTTCCTTTTGAGGCAGAATGAAATTAAGAGATCTGCTATAATCTGTTATGTTGGCATTAGTTGAATTATTCTTAGAGGAGGAAGTTGGAGGACATGTTGAAATGAGATAAAAGGAAAAATAAAACATAAGCAGCTTAATCCAATGAAGGTTTCCTTCCTTCCAAATGGCACATCCTAAAATACTATTCACTAACCGTTTGCCGTGATACGGGAAAAAGCAAGCATGATGCTGTGAAGGGAGACATTTTAAGGTATTAATCTTGATATTAATCTCTGAAATATGTTCTATATAATACATGCCAGTCAGAAATATTACTTTTTTAAAAATTATGGCTGCAAAGGCGGTGCTCCCTAAACATTATGTTGTATTTGGAATTTTTCTATGTGCATCTCGGAGTATTTTACTGCCCCTAAGAGAACAATTTGTGTGTTTTGTCTATTACCATCAGCCCTGCAATACATAGGGCTATTTTTCTTCCTCGAGAAAAATGAGTTCAAAGGAAAATGTTCATAAAAGAGTATTCATAACCTTGGCATCAAAAAAAATCATGAGTCTGTTGTTGTAGCTTGAGGGTTGTGGCTGGAAGAGAAAAGACAGAGCCTTCAACAGGGGAGGATGTTTTAGATGGTGAAGCAGTTGTCCGAAGAACAAAGCAGCCCATGTTTCAGCTCCAGCTCCAAATCCTTGAACTGTTTATTTCATGGACCTTCTTTATCTCATCAAAGAGGTGCATTCATTATGGTGCTGCAGCAAAATCATGTGAAAATTGAATATTTGTTCAATCAACTTGGCCCAGCTGGAGGTAATTACTTCTTGTAAAGGAGGGATGGACAAGACACAAGACACTTCCATTTCTCTAATGTACAGAGGGCCCTGCATGAGGCTTGCTCACGGTATGTTCTGCTGAAAATGAAATCTCAGTTTCCTTGCAAGCCCCAAATGTGAGGAATGAAGGGCAGAGAGGGAAAGTGAGGGACGGCAGTATTTACAGCAGCCATAGTAATCTAAAGCAATACTGCTGTAGGAAATTTGGGGAAATTGCTTAAATTTGCTGTTCATGAAGGGATGGGGTTGTGTTTTCATAGCCAGCCTTCCCACCAGCTTTTGGCTTCGAAGATGAATATGCAAAAGATTGAGGTTTCATTCTGAGTTTCAGGGCCACTTTCAATGCAGTCTGAAAGTCAAAGAGTAGTTTTGAAGTGGTTTAACTGCCTCCCCTTACTTCTCCTTCTCTCTCACTTCTCTGACTTCTATGAGACATCTCTCTTAGCCTTCAGATAGCTAAACTCTTGCTTTGTCTCAAGGGGCAGGGACCATTGTGTCAAGTCGCCGCCATGTTTCATGGAAGGGCTGAGGTGGAGAGGAGAGGTCGTTAGCTAGTTGAGCCAGCAGGGGTGGTATAGGATACCCCTCAAATCCTCCTAAACTTGAAAATTGGCCCCAGGATCCTGGCAGTACTTTCAGCAGCAATAATTTCTGGCAGTTTTGAAGAGAGCTGAGATGAAAGCGCTGTCTGTCGTGGCTGTAACCCTCAGCCTGGATTTGGTTGGCTGTGGTCACGCAATGTGAGGTCATCTTACTGTGCTCAGATTTCAAAGGCAGCCCATGGAACGAAGCCCACTCTCCCGACATATCCAAATTTGCCCTTGGAGAGTTTAGACCATTTGTTTGAGGATAAATATTAAGAGCGCAAAATTGCCAAGAAGAGAAAAAAGAAAAGATTACAAAGGTACCATAAAAAAATCAATTTACAAACCGAAGACTTATAGAAGGCACTGAAAACTTTATTCTCTTGTATTTACAGAGCACTATGGGGTACAAGAAGTCCTTGGCATTCAAGGATTTAATGTTTGTGGTTTGCAGTAACAAAGAATGACATGCAGTAAATTATCTGAGCTAAGAGATGGGTGCGGAGAAGTGAGTGAGTTTTGTTGACTGACAGCCATCAACTTCGTGGTGTTCTATAGTGATCCTTGGAGTAACACTCAAGAAGTAATGAAACCCATTTGTTTATTAGAAATGACCCCTCCCCACCTCCTAAGCCAATCTCTCTTGCTAGAGATGCAATTAAAGAGGTCTAGGAAAATGAGGGTGACACAGGGTAGCTGTGATTTTAACTCTTTACTGATAGATGAATTAGGAGTATGAAAAGATCACTGTAAAATTTCAGGGTCTAAAAAATTATCTTTTTATGGGACAAATTATAAGCTACAATGGTGTTCAAAAGTATTTAGACCCCTTGGTATTTACCCAAAGCAGTTAAATGCTTATGTCCACATGAAAACCTGCGCACAGATCTTTTTTTAAAGATTTTATTTATTTATTTATTTGAGAGAGAGAGAGAGAGAGAGCGCGCGCACAAGCAGGGGGGAGGGGGAGAGGGAGAGGGAGAAGTATGCTCCTGGCTAAGCAGGGAACTGGATGCGGGATT